AGGAGCTGTGCCATAACGCTCCCTACTACTAACCCACCCCACTTTCACGATAAAGCCTTCAATAGAGGAGGGACAAGGTCGACAACGATTATGCGCATACAAGGTTGGGGGAGGGCATTCCACCAAGGTTATTCCTCTCAAGGTTACTCTTCTTCTCAAGGACACTACACCCCCAAGGTCGACTCAGTCTTCGAGGGCATCAACCACTCTAATCGGCTACTCCCGAGGTCACCCCAAGATCACCCCAAGGTCGCCTTCAAGGCCACCTCTCAAGGCCACTCCTCTCGCCTTTCAGGGTCACTCCTTTTAAGGTAACTCCTTTCAAGGTCCCCCCCAAGGTCACTCCCCTCAAGGTCACTCCCAAGGCCACTCCGGCCAAGGTCACCTCCAAGGTCACTTCGCCCAAGGTCACCTCAAGGTTACTCCTAAGGTCACTCCCAAGGTCACGATCACTCCCGCCCAAGGTCACACTCCTCTGGCCTTGGGCGGAGACCCAGAACCGGTGAAAACTATCTACTTAAGTCAACAGCATGATCAGGAATACAATAGGCCCAAAGGCTGCAGTGTTTTGGGCTTCAAACCCTGACTGATCATTCTGCTATTAATCAATCAATCAATCAATCAATGTGCATATACATATTTTCATCTGAGGAAGAATGCAAATCCTCAACTTCAGAAGATTTTGTTTCCAAATGTGTGTTCAATAGATATAATTCAATGTTCGTCATTGCATATAGCCAGGAGAGTAGTTGATTTCTATTGAATAAACCGATGAAGAATCGACTTCTTCTTCATTATATTATCATATAGAGAATGCGCATTCTCAATGTATTTTTTAAATATATTTATCGATTTTTTTTATGTTAATAATTCCATCTGAGAATATTACTTTTCGATAAATTTGTTTGTTACTATTCTCAATTTAATTGAATTTGTCTGAACAGGTCGTATAATTGATTATCAAATGTATATACTTAGGTACTCATCATCCAATTAGTTTACTTAAGAAGCTGATAGCTGATAGGTCCCAACACAGATCCTTGAGTAACTCCGAAAGATGGTCGAAACATGATTGGATTCTCATGCAGCTCTTGGGGTGTTACTCTGTTTTTCTAGTTCCAATATCTTTCATGAATTTCCGCCTTTGCTTCAGTATTCTCGAGCCCCGCTGCGTTTAATAAGGAAAATGAGGGGAAAACGCTGAAAATACATAATTAAAAGTCTTCCTCACCACCCTAATTAGAATTTAAATCAAAGAAAAACATCGGTATTCTTATTAGCGGCAAACCTCTCTGACAGCTGGCGAATTATTAGGGCTAGATATTAAAAAAAATCCAGAGATCATTGGGAAAACTGGTATTAGATTATGAGGGATGGCCTCAAATTCGAATTCATGAGCAGACAAAATTACAGAGTTTCCAGGGGTTCTACGAAGTGCGAAGTGATAACTCATTTTCCGCTGATGTTAACAGGCAATATGAGGGAGGGAATTTAGCTCAGAGTATTTTTCACCACTGGCGAGAACAGGCAGTTCAATTAGTGCAAACTATCATAGTGGTGGAGCTGATGTCAGGAAAAAACGATCGATCTGCACAAGTTCCGAATAATAATTATCATTCATTCTCCTCTGGATGATACAAGTATTATACAGTGTGTTTGAGAGTTGTGGTGACAGGAGCCCAAAGGACCCATGAATGACTCTGGTGTTTATGGAACGCCGTTTTACTTTCAATTGTATCATTTCTACGAACTCAATTTTTATACTCCACAATTAATGCGGAAAATATTAAATGTTTCATATATTCAAAGAGGCATTTATTATGATTGTTTATGAGAATGAGTTTATTCAATATGATAGATGGTTTCGAATGTTACATGAATTCAACTGTCTGATGGAAAAAATCGTTTATGGAAATATCTATAAAATAGAGCAAGATCGCCAACTTTTCAATACGGTGTTCCAGAGAAGTGAGTGAGTTCGTGAGCAAGGCATCACCCACGAGACGAATCGCCCTTTTTTGGACATAATCCAACAGTTTCAGTGTATGTGTTGGCGCTGCACTCCAAATATGGGAACAGTATTTCAGGACAGGTCTGATCTGTGCTTCATAGATCATAAGCAGCTGATTGGGAGACAGTGAGATCGGCTTTTCTACAGAAGAGGCATGCTTGTGTTTTGTTTGCATCGGAATCTGTCAAGTTATTAGATCCCTTTTCGAGAATTGTTGCCAAGTCCATATGTATGTTGTCAACATTTCTCCTTCGTTCGTTTCTGATTCGCCTGGCTGGTATTGGAGCCCTGGAAGAGAAGGCGGTATGGAGGGTACTATCATCCGCAAAACTGTGTACTGGACATGAAGTTGCTTCCAACAAATCGTTGATATGGAGTAGAAATAGTGATGGTGCTAGAATTGATCCTTGCGAGTCAGATGGAACTCCGTCGACCACTACATGGAGAGACCTGTTTGAGAGAGAACTAGCTAGCAGAGAACATAGCTGGGAAGGAAAGCCATATGATGGAAGCTTGGCGAGGAGTCCGTGGTGCCAGACTCGATCGAATGCCTTGGAGACATCGAGTGTTATCATCGTGCCGAGGGTTTAATTCTTTGATATAAATTTGATAATGATCTGAGATGATACTTGTGGACATCCAATTCATTCACAAAATGACAGGGTTTCATCGATATAATGTCGAAGAAGGCTCAGACACAATAATAAAATTGTGAGAGTCTGAATAAACAGGTTTTCAGCCTACACACTACTTTGGAAATGATGATGCAGGCTCAATTTGCAATACCTTTGATGGGTAACGATAATAAATTGATTTTTTCTCTGGCTCATGAATTATATTCATCAAGTTATTGAAGTACTGAATTGGATGTAATATTCATATTCGAGCCTAATTTCCATAATTGCTCGGAGCAAAATTACATTCGCTCAACTAACTTCAAACGGAATGAAAAAATATGTTAAACTTTCTATTATCTCTGATGCTTTCCAATAGTTTTCGAATGCGGTTCTAATAGTCCGTGTTTGAATCAGTAAGAGTCAAACAGTTCTTTGTGCTCTGAAATAATCGTATTCATCTGTTCAATCTGGTACACCATATTCACTATGCTACTGTATCCTGTGGTAAAAGGCACGCCCTATCATGGCTGCCTCAGATTACTGAGGGCATTTTTTCTATATTCTGAAAATACCAAAGGGTGTGCTTCATATATGTACCTGGTTGTATTTATGTTTCTGATATCATTTTTCCTGGTGGGTTGTCCTCTTCACATGTATATGGCTATCAAGGGTAAGATCGTCAAAGGTGTCACTGTCGCTATAACATCAAACATAGTAATTCACCTAACAAGTCCGGAAAATATTGTTTTTTTGGACGAGTAGACAAAATTGTAGGCCGAGCGGTAGGCGAGTCCTGGAAGTCTGTGAGTCCAAAAAAACTTTTTTTGGACGTGTTGCGTGCACTATTTTTTTGGCAACCATGTAGAATAACAAATCAATGAGACACAGTTCCATATTATATTCCTTTCCCAGGTAGCACATCATATTGGCTGGAACCTGATTTCATATTGGGCCGATATAGATATATCGTACATGAGAAAAATAATAAAGGTCCAATATGAGAGTATATTGGACATACAATATTGGAATGAAAATATTGGTGGAATATTGGTTCAACCTGAGCTGAATATGGATTGTCAGCTACAATATTGGAGCAATATTGGTTGTGAAATTCGTTAACAATGTGTTGAAAGACATATCTATAAATGTTATATAATATTGTTTTACAAATGTCGATACAACAACATCGTATATATATTGTTTCCAACAATTATAACCAATATCGCAATTTGAACATTCTTCCCATGTCGATTCTGAAGCGGTTATGCAATATTTTATATTCAAGTTCGACGGCATATTGGTTGAATACAGTTTTGACAATATTTGAAACATCATATTCACCTATCTTGTTGATATCATTTTATCTATATCATGCGGAAGATATCGTATACATTTTGTTTCTTACATTTATAACCAATATCGCGATTTGAATATTCTACTCATGTCGATTCTGAAGCGTTTGTGCAATATTGTATATTTAATTTTGACGGCATATTGGTTGAATATTGGACTAGGCCGAAAAAATGAACTTTCTCAAAGAAAAGGCGTCCGGGAAGTAAGCACTTCCCGGACGGTTGCCGAAAAAATATCAATTCCACTTTTATATACCTGAAGAAGATAGGGACAAACTTAGAATCCTATAAAATCCATGTCTTCTGTTTGCGACAACATATAAATCTTTCTTGGTCACCTAATGGTTCAGATGAATAAGTTAAACTTCTGAGATAATTTGGTCAGGAAAAATAAATAATTCACGTACATGGAATAAACAAATCCAGGACCAAAATATGAAATATTCAAACCTGTTCGTTTTTCTAGTATTATTATTCTGAATAATAAAAATTTCAGCTCGCCCAGATGTCCTCCATTCGCAGATCAAGTTTGTTTGACATTCCCTAGGCGATGAGATTTTTCTTAAATAATAACACGATGGAGTCACTGTGATATCATATACAAAAAATGAAATTGATGACAAACACAGTACATCATTGATGAATAGTCGTAGGAAATAGTTATTTGTTTTACTAGGCAGAAAAGTACAAGATGCCGCGTCTGGCGTTTCATAGCCTAGGCGTAGCCGAGGCTACAAAACCAGCCATGGCATTACATCTTCTTTTCTGCCATATGAAACACAACATTTTCTTTCCAAATTCTTTCCAATTTCACGCAAAGTCCAAATAGTCCATCATTCTTTGTTTACCCAAAGTCATTTTCAATTTTGATTACCAATTTGATTCAAATTACTATATCATTCCGTGCTCGTTGAACAATATACTATATTTGTCACTTATACTTTTCTCGCACTAGACCCTTCAATGCCTTAATGATACCTTCTGAATCACTTAATCACTGAATTATTTCCTGATTATTTCAGGAAACCTGGAAGGGAATATCAGCGAAGACCTTACAGTAATATCGACCGGTTTCACTCTGACGGTAGTAGTTACGAAATTCAGATACCATCAAAAACGATGGTCGAGATTTTTCCAGATTATCACCGACTTCAGAGAGTTCGGAAAACCGACTACTTTCGACGAGATCACAGCTAAAACTAACTTCTACTGCACAATTTACATGATCTACTGCATCTCAGGTGTGATGTTCTATGGAGCAGTCTCTCGATTCGAATCTACTTGCTACGAAATCAGCCCGAATTCACCGTACAGAGATTTCTGTGGGACTTTTACTCCAATATGGTTGCCTATGGAGACATTGCCGATCTCTCTGAAAGTTGTACTATCCTTGATCCAATACATGTTAGCTACCCACGTCACAACTGGAACAGCCATTAGTTGTGCTGTCACTTATACATCTACGGAGTACCTAATATCGCATAAGAAATATCTGAAAGAAAAGTTATTGAGAGTTTACAAGGATGATGGATTTAGCAAATTTGACAAACTCAAATTCTGTGTGGACTACCATAACCATATTTTGGGGTAAGAAGAAGGTGGAAACCATAGAAATAATGTGGTCGAAACCATTTCACATAACGTTATGGACGACTTTCTGTGTAACCTTGAAGAACTGAATTATCTGATCGATTGAAAATATAACTTTTCATACTAGCATATTATGTTTCAGAATATCACGTGAGTTGGATTACCTAACCAATGTAACATCTGGATCTATGTCTCTGTTATGTTCTATAGGTTTTGGATGTATAAGCAATGCAGTATTGAAGGTTGGTATCTAATAGATTGACTTATAATTCAGAAATCATGACACGTTTTGCTGACACAGTAACTTCTTCAAGTAGAGAACTCACAATAAAGCTCACAACCTATCCTAATGAATCAAAGCTATCCAATAGATGTCCATTGGATAGACGTACATGGACATGCAGTTTAAACATTGAATGGCTCTGGATGACCCGCTTTCATCCAATGGACATCCATTGTAAATCCAGAGGCCACAAGTTCAGATGTCCATTGGATGTCCATCCTATTCATCTACTGTATATCTACTGTACCTTAGGGCTTCGCGAGACCAAGAACAAGACCAACACTGATCAGTCTTGATCTTGATCTCTGAAAATTAATGTAGTCTTGGTCTTAGTATTGGTCTTGATGTTTCAAGACCAAGACGAAACTGGCTCAGTCATGGTCTTGATAGTCTTGGTATTGGATCAAAATGCATCTGAAATGAATTAGTCAATGCAAATATTCAACAGTCCAAATGCATATAATAGGTATTTCGTATTTCTCAGTCTTCAAAATTGTCAATTTGTGCGTATAAAGTAGGCGTAATCAATTTCTCCCGTTACCATTGAAATATAATTTTCAGGAAACCTTGAATAAACTTTAAATGAGACTCAAAAAACAGGCGGATGCCCGACAGGCCAGAAAAAAGGTTCAAACCTAACTATAGTTGTATGACTTCTTTATTAAAAGTTACTGACGATATACATGCCTCTCTGGACAAAAATGAGCTAACCATTTTGGTACTATTGGATTTTACTAAAGCTTTCGATAGAATAGATCATCAACTTCTCATATCCATTCTGCATTACATCGGTTTCGGAAATGGTTCTGTGAATTGAATGAGACATTACCTTGCTAAGCGGCTACAGGCTGTGATACATGAGCAGTCATCATCCTAATATCTTTACTTGATAAGAGGCGTCCCTCAAGGTTCCATATTGGATCCTCTTATGTTCATAATCTACACCTTCGAATTCACCACATACTTGAAATACTGTCAATTGCACTACTATGCAGACGATACACAATTATATTAGTGCGATGCCGCAACAGCATGTGAACGAATCAATGATTGGATTAAATCGTTAGAGATAATTTCTACTACTTTCAATTTGGATATTAATCCATGTAAATCTAACGTTATGTTATTTGGTAGTACACCAGCTCGCAAGTGTGTTGATCTCATACATATTATTGCTGGTTGTGTGAACTTGACTCTTAAAGAAAATGCCAAAAACTTAGGAATATCATCAGACAATAAGTTGAGATACTCTTCGCATGTTACCATGATACTTCGCAGAGCTCTTGGAAAATCTCAAACTCATTAATAAAGCACTTTTGAATAAAAATCTCAAGATAATGTTGTGTGAGTCTCTGTGAGTTCCGTCCCATCTCGATTATGGAGATGTAATCTATGGGCCCAATCTTTCGAAATCAGACTGTCTTATAGAATTCAACGAGTACAAAATTGCTGTGTTCGGCTCATATGTGGCCTGAAGAAGAGAACACCTACATCTCCACATTTAAGAAGTCTGGGTTGGTTGAATATGGAACAAAGACGCTTAGTGCATGCTTGCATTCTTTTTCTCAAAATTATAGTTTCGAGAAGTCCACCATATTTATACAATTGAATCAGATTCAGAACGGATGTTCACAACTTCAAAATCAGACACAAATCGCGCGTCACTCCTCCACAGCATAAGTCAATTTTCTATGAAGGATCTTTCAGTTATCATTTGACTATGCTATACAACTGGCTTCCAGAGGAGTTGGAAAGTGTATCTGTATTTGTCCTTAAACAGAGGCTGAAAATTTTTTTGATATCAGGGAGAATTTCGTTTCCTTGATATAGTTCTCTGTCAATATCTGTTCACAACTGATCTATTATAATATCTCTAATATAGGACTAATATAGGACTATAGTTCATAACTCTCTCTTTTTTTTTTCTGCTTTTCCATCTTTCCTCCTTCTGTTATGAACAAAATGATGTTTTAGATCATTATGCATGTATCATTCAATTATTATTAGATTCTAGTAGTTAGTTATTTTCAAATATATATTTGAACTCATTCATATTGACTTGAATGCATATGAATGAGTTTTTACTGGTTGAGTGGAAGAGCAAATTCCTGTCTTCACAGGCAATTTGAACTCTGCCATTTGGCAGGCATTTATTGACTGTTCAACTTGTATATATCAGCTGAAACAATGTTTGTCCAATGAATACATTTATTATTATTATTATTATTGAAAGGTGCGGAACTGACAACAACGCATTATCAAAATATTTCAAAGAATTTCAAATTCAAACCGAATAAGTTTTGTATCGAATTTATTTCTATCTTCAATAGGAGGAGGTATGGACCACTGTCACCTTACAACATAGACCTATTTGTTGTAAACTTTGAAACTGCAATAGTGAGTTCGAAAAATGTATTTCGGATTTTGAGTGAACAAAAATTAAAAACCTACTATACAGGGTGTTTCATGAGAAGACTCACATAGCCGAATGGTTAATAGGGGAAATCGAGACGAGTTGATGTATATATATATGAAAACATTGACCCTCCATAACGAAGATACAGGGTATTATGTGAAATTGCTATATAACTTTGATCGTCGATATTACAGAAATGATTCGTCGTAATCTACTGAAATTTGGCAGCGACGTATCACTACTGAAACTATTCAAGATAACATATAATGAAAAGAATATCCAGGTCCGGACTTGGGAAAATTTCATGTTTCATTGTTATGTCAAAAAAGTTCACTTTGTGACCACTTTTGTCGAAAGAGTCCACCAGATTCAGAAAGATCAGACAAAATTCTATGAGAACTGCTCTTCAATTTACACGGCACACTTTGATCGGTTCAATAAAAAAATATGGAACAAAATCGTTCGAATGAATTTTAAATTTCGACCTGGCTGATAACTGTCAACTTTCAACTGGTATCATGTGAATTGATTTTTTCTACATTTTTGTTGAATAGTAATTGACAGAAAGATAGACGGGAAGAAAAAACACGATATTTTTTATCGAAATTCCAGATAGATATTATTATTCCTGACTTTGTTTTATGGGTGTGTGAAGTGAGATATCGAGTGGGTCCTGTTTTTCATTTGTGTGACGAGACGTGACGTTTGTTGATAATCCGAACTGATAGGTAGGTACTAGGCTAGTACTAGGTATATTATGGTGATTTATCAAATTAGTTATGCCATCACGCATAAACTTAGCTCAATTTTTTGTTATTGATACACTTCTGCAAGTGATATAAGGATATGCATTTGCTATTTATTCAAAATTCCTAATGTTCATTCTCATGAAGGTTCCACTGCAACGTATTCTTGGGTCTGGAAATATTCTATGGTATTAAACATAGCATAGCATTTGGATTTTCGTCTTGTTCAGCATTTGGAATATGAAGTGGCACCTAGAGTGTAAGAATATTTCGATTATCAGTGTTTACCTATCGACAAACGTCACGTTTCATAAAATAAAAACAGAGCTCACTTCATAATGAATTTATAAAATATAGAGTCACGAGTAATCATATCTATCCAGAAGTTCGGTAAAAAACTAACATATTTATCAAATCATAAAAAAATTAGAACTAATCTCTTCTGTCAATTTCTATCAAAAAAAAAATGTACAAAGAATCAATTTATACGAATCCAAATAAAATTTGAGAGTTATCAGCCAGGTCGAAATTGTAAATTCATCCGAACGTTTTTGTTACATATTTCTTTGTTGAACCGGTCAAGTGTGCCGTGTAAATTGGGGAGCAGTTTTTATAGCATTTTGTCAATGAAACATAAAATTTCTCCAAGTCCGGACCTGGATATTTTTTTCATAATATGTTATCTTGAAAAGTTTCAGTAAAGATACGTCGCTGCCAAATTTCAGCAGATTACGACGAATCATTTCTGTAATATCGGCCAGCAAAGTTATATAGCAATTCCACATAATACCCTGTATCTTCGTTATGGAGGGTCAAAAAATGTTTTCATGTATATACATCAACTAGTCTTGATTTCCCCTATTAACCATTTGGCTATGTGAGTCTTCTCATGAAACACCCTGTATAAAAGTGAGATTACTGAAATAAAATGTCATTACATTTTCCATAAGATTTTTCTGAATATTGAGTAGATTTGAGTTCATAATTTTCCTGTCAGGACAAAGACCAAGAGTCTTGGGAGAGAGCCTTGGTCTCTTGGGAAAGAGCCTTGGTCTTGGTCTCGACCAAGGATAGGCATTTTGGTTCATTCAATGAATATACATTGATTCCTTGTCCATGGACATCCGAACTTCTTCTGGACCTGAAATGGACATCCATTGGATGACCGGTGTTATTAGAGTGAGTGATAAATCTAAACTGGAGTGACTTCAACGAGATAATCCATTGAAGCAGGTAGTTTGGAATATTTGGAATATCATCGAATTCTCCATAAAAATCCTAATTGAATAATATTATTTCCTATTTTATGGTTGGTTTTATTGTGAGCTCTTACGTCACTCTATACACCAAAGTACACTGTTCTTGGATGGATTCTTATGGTATTGAAACAGTTTCTGAACATTTTCAATGAAACACCGCTTTGCTTGACATATCTAAACTTCACCAGCAGAAACGTGTCGATTACTCTTAATGGAAATTTCATGTTTTAATTATTATGTTTCAGGGCAAACCCTTTAGCGGTGTGGTTTATCTCATTGGTTTCGTAGTAGCTCTGTTTTTGCTATGTTACTCAGGGCAGAGATTATTGGAAGAAGTGAGTAATTAAATGATATGCATTGAAAAGTTCTCTACTGAACTCCTGAACAATGATAAACAGGAGAGATTTCATATTCCTGATTATCATCTCACAAAATGAAACATGTTGATGACAAGATTAAAGTGGAAACTGTGTTCAATACTAGAATGGCTATGATATCAATTTTCACTGTGCCCAACATAAGCTTGTCGATGCTTGGTGTTACTGTCAGCAATAACCACTTTTGGGGAAATCACGTGAGATCAATTGCTAAAAGTGCATCCCAAAAACTTTTCTGTTTCGGGCCAGGAGCTATTTCACTTCCAGTCAGCTGCTTATGATCTATAAGGCACAGATCCGATATGTCCTGCAATACTGTTTCCATATTTGGAGTGCAGCACCCAAACATACCCTGAAACGGTTGGATTCTGTCCAAAGAAGGGCAATTCGTTTCGCTCACGAACTAACTCACTTCTCTGGAAGTTGTCGTTGTCAACCTCGAAAGATGTCGAACAGCACTTTATCAAAACTCCTTCACCCATAGAACGGCCAGGCTCTGGAATCCATTGCCTGAGGAAGTATTCCCAACAGCATTTAATCTCCAGAATTTCGAAACAAATTCCAATTACTACCTCATGTCCCTATCCTCCCTAGGAACGCACGATGTTATAGGGATTTCCTTTCGTGCGTTCCTAGAATAATGTTTCCTCATTTGGAGTGCAGCACCCAAACATACCCTGAAACTGTTGGATTCTGTTCAAAAAAGGAAAATTCGTCTCGTGGGTGATGCCTCGCTCACAAACACACTTACTTCTCTGGAACACCGTAGAAGAGGTGGCGATCTGGCTCTATTTTATAGATATTTTCATGGACGATGCTCTTCTGAAATATCAACAATTGTTCCTCCCTTGGCAGTTCCCGCGAGATGAACCCGCCGAGTTGAGGCTTCGCACACCTTCGTGGTCACTTTGGAGACCTGCAGAATAACATCTCTTCCCAAAGACCCGTTCATCCAACGAACGGCGAGGCTCTAGAACACATTGCCAAGGGAGGTGGTCCCCGAGGCATATAACTTCCAGAAATTTGAGAAGAACACCAATTCCTACCTTATTTCCCTTGGTTCTCACGATGTTCTCTGAACATTACAGGATATCCCTTTTTGTAGGAACCAGCGCATAAAATAATGAAATAATGAAAAATCATCAGGAGACCTCTCAGACTCACCGTTATAATGACAGATTATGTACAACGTTCTTCTGATGTATGTATCTTTATTCAAGTCATGCTTTTCATGGGTTTTCAACATGTCCTAAACAATTATGTGTTAATTGAGCTCTCCTGCAGCAAGGTTACCTATTAGATATGCATTTGCATTGAACATTGATGATTCCTGACGATTAGTAGATGCAGATTGATTTTATTTTAATTTGAGAAAAAAGACACCGCGGAAAGATTTTATATACGCTGCCTTCATTTAGGAATTCCCGAAATTATCAACTGAACATGATTATGAAAAATATGAGGTATTGCTCACTTCAGCATCTAGGAACTAAAAAGGATGTACTAGCTCATCAAGAATGAACAATATTGTTACGGTTGGTTTTTTGGGTTGGTCGCATACCTGATTTGTTTCCAATTTCGGCAGATTTGGCATCTCATATCTCATACCCATGCTAGAGATGAATACACCATATAGTTATGTAATTTTGTTTCGATCAGGAAAACCAACAACATTCACACTCTTGCTGGATCTGTAGCTCATTCGTCATTCTCGGGATTGAATGGATAACTTGTTTCTGAATAATCACGGTCAGCAATACATGTTTGCCTCACACAACGATTATTTTAACATTCATGGGATCACAGGGGCTATGCGTACGTGCCCTACTGCAGCAATGGAAGCTATGCTTGACTTACTACCCTTGCATATTTTTATCAAGAGGACTGCAGCTCTCAGTGCATACAGACTGAACTCCACTGAATTGGCCAGACCAGGTGATGTCACTGGTCACATGGTCATTCTACAAGAAGTACAAATGGAATTTGCAACCAAACCATCGGACGTAATGCCAGTCAGGCTCTGTTTCGATCATACCTTTGAATTGGTTATAAAAAGCCGCCCTAGGTACGGTTCCGCTGGACAGAGGGTCCCTTGTTTGGTACACCGATGGTTCGAAAATGGAAGAAGGGGTAGGCGCAAGTGTATATGGACCTGGATGTAGGCTATTTGAAGCCTAGGGTAACTCCCCCACTATCTTCCAAGCTGAAATACATGCAATCAACCTCTCCGCCCAAAGGTGCCTGAGCAAAGGTCAGAGGGGTGCCAACATATATATCTGCTCAGACAGCCAAGCCGCACTAAAAGCTCTAGAATCATTCGTTTCCACATCGAAGATCACATGGGACTGCTTTGAAACACTCATGCAGCATCTGCACTTTTTGTCCTGAGCCTTTTTGTGGGATCAGCAAATGTCACCTGAAGGAAGAACTCATGAAATGGGAAGAAATTGAAAAGTCCTCCTACTGGAGAGCAACACCAGGTCAACGACAAGCGAAAAGGTTCTTCAACCATTCGCAGAACCGAGCCAAAGAGCTACTCAGCCTCAGCAAACCAGAGCTAAAGCTTATCACAGGCTTTCTCACAGGACACGGCCCTCTGAGGTACCACCTCAAAAAGATGGGCCTGGCGGAGACTGACACTTGCTGCTTTTGTAACAATGCGACCGAAAACGCGGAACACATACGTTGCTCATGTGAAGTATTAGTCCGCCAAAGGCTGAAACACCTAGAACAGGTCCATCTCACCCCTGCTGAGGTGGAAAATTCAACCGTCAGGAAAATTGTAGGCTTCATCAGAAGTCTAGGCTTAGAGGACCAAAACTAGATAAGGGTACTCACAATGGAATCTTCTAGGTCACAGTGATCGAGAGGTCTCCCAGCCTATACGATCCATCTACAATCTACAAACTACAACATTCATTTGATTACCGAGCCAAACACAGTGGAATATGGAGAGAAAAAAATAATTGCTAGTAGCCAAACACAGTGGAATATGAAGAGAAAAAAATAATCGCTATCATTATTGTTGATGATTGATATCCTCACTAACCTAACATTTTCCCACTTCTTTTTCCTATATCTGGCACTGGCGCGGTACTTGCTCTTATTACTGACACGTGGTCCAAATGAATTCATCGATTCAATAGAATACAGGAAAAGGTCATTCTGTGGTTGTATTTATATTTAAACTACAATTCGAACATCCTTGAAAATTTAATAGACCTGATCTGTAATTGCAGTTAAAATATTCTCACCACACGGATTATTTCTCGCATTGCATACATATGGCACGACATCCACGTTTTGGGTATTATCGAATTCGTGCCTGTAATCTCCGATGACATGATGCATGTCAACACAAATTGTAACAAAGTAAAGTAGTCTGAGGTGTTGCTTTTATCTACTCACTCATATTATTATTATGTTGAACTGTCAATTGAGTCACATTGGTGGTTAATTCACTTTCATTTATTTTAGTTGATTCTTTCGGTTGCAGAAAAAATAGTATGTTTCATTCGGATCAAAATTCGCTTGTCAAACAAAGTGAAACTTTTGATCTCGGGACATAAAATACCACTTTAGTCCTTAGGTGTATAACGAACTTTTATTACATCATAGGTTTCCACACTGTATACTCATGTATTTGTTGCAGAGTTTGACAGTTGGTGATGTTGCTTATGAAACTGAATGGTATACAGGGACGTCAAAAATGGCAAAATTGATGCAAGTTATCATAGCGAGGAGTCAAACTCCTGTGACCTTGGCAGCTTCGCCATGTGGAATTTACTCAATACCATTATTTGTGATGGTGAGGATATTGATTTTGTCGAGTTTTGTGAAGCAGCTCATTTGATTGAATGTTTCAGATCCTGAAAGCTTCTTATTCTTATATGACTCTACTGAGTCAGTCGACATGAACATGTTTATGCATTTAGAAAGTTCAAAGGGTACTTTTATTGAATCCCTATTTTCGGAGAAGAAGTGGTACTCTGAGGTCCTAGGTATTTGAAATATAAATTCATTTGCAATAAGAGCTGATTGTAGAAGTTCATTTCCAATAATTTTATCAGAAATATAACATGATAAGGATGCACAAAAAAAGAAATATAAAACTATAAAAAAACTCAATTTCTATTATTATTAACATTTATCTTCACCCCACTGCAGGAAAATATTGCAGCTGTTATTTTCATCAATTGAAGTGTTCTGGAGAACTGAAGCCGTTGTTATACGACGCTATACATAGTGGAGTATACTATACGGCCTTGCCAAAAATGCTATCTCGGAAACTAAGCGAGATAGAGGTATAGTTACTTTGGAGAAAATGATCCCCATCGAATTTTGAGCAACTTTGGTTTTTGTGTGTGGTCTGTCTGTCTGTCTGTACTCTGTGGTAATCATAAATCGATATATCTCCGGAACCCTTTGACATATCGACTTGAAATTTTGCCATCATATTGTACTCAAAACAATATCATGTCATTAAAATATGAAGGAAATCGGCAAACTCTAAGGTGGTTTTTCCGGGTTTTTCCGATTTTCACCGGAAGTTTCTTGTGACCACTCTACAAATCACAAAAAAGGTCTGATCGATTTCATTTCTTGTGAAATAAAAATTCTATCAGGGAGAAACGTAACCTATTGAAATTGAGCAGGGTCGCGAAATTCCAAGTGGGTTTTTCAAGGAGATTTTCCGAAACACACGGTTCGCTTTAAGACAACATAACTCCTGAACCAATAGACGTAATCCAAATTTGAAAAATGCACCTTATGCCTCTTTGATGACGCAACAAATTATTATTCTACTATTTTTTCGTGCATCCATCGGAAAATGGAAAAACAAATGAAAATCAAAACATCAAAATTTGAAATCCTGTCAATTCAATATAATATCGAAAACGAATGGAAAAATCGAAAATTATCAGAAGTGCAAAAATATCCACTAGAACATCTCCTACAAATTATTACCCGAATTTTTTTATGTAAACCCAATAGTACAGGAAATAAAGTGAAAAATATGAAAAAAAAATTTGAACTACCCATAGGGTACCATGAGGATATATTGAAAAACAAAAGATTATCGATAGATGAAGATCATCGACTTCTACTGAACCATGAAATATTTTTTCCATTTGTTGAATGGAAGATGGAACAGAAGTGTTGAAAATTTTATTCTCAGATGATTCCAAATATCTCGAAAACAACTGGAAATATCTGAAAATGTTATAGAACCAAAATTATTCCTTTTGATAGAATCTACAAAAAATCCATAAAACATTTTTTTTCAATTTAATAGTTCGGGAGATACGATGAAAAAACTAAAAAATTTACAAGTTCCTATACTTGCCAATAGAAAACGAAACAAAAAACAAATGGAAGTAATAAAAGCACACTCGACTGTCTTGATTTTTTCCCCATAAACTACGTACCTAGCTAACTCGACTGTCTTTATTTTTCGCCAATGAACTAGGTACCTAGTTCACTCGACTGCCTAAATTTTTTGCCCATAAACTACGTACCTAGCTCACTCGACTGTCTTGATTTCCCACAAAGAAGAAATATGTTGGCATTGTTTTAACTTTCTTTTGTTTTTGTTTTTTTAGTCCCTATTGGCAGTCGAGTGGGCTAGGTACGTAGTTTGTGTGGAAAAACCAAGACAGTCGAGTGGGCTAAGTACGTAGTTTGTGGGAAAAATCTCCAGTTCTCTGAACTTTCATAGCGTCGTATCTTTGGTGCCCAATGATAGTTTCAATATAAAAATATGCTCATGATATGGTGCCATGGCCTCTACTTCCATCTCACATGAGCAATGATAAAATATAATCTGCTTTTATAGCGTCGTATGAATTATCTGACCTCTATACTAATCTAATACCTAATGAAAACTACATCTATACTGATATGATACCTTTCATAAACTACGTACATCACTTGTTATCACTGTTTCTATAATGCTTTACCCATCATGAAGTGCTTTAAATAAAATGAAAAACAGTAATTTCGTCGCACCCCAAAATTTTGTCCCTGTTGAAATATAAATAACTTTTTTCTGCATTGAACAATTTGAATTCGGATTACACTGTTCGCTAGCGCAGTCCTTCAGCTATAATCTCGTGCTTTTCTCAAAACATGAGGTTCTTCATATGAAATCGCTACTGGGTGCGTCACCTGAAACTGTGAAACATTTCGGAATTTTCAAACCGACCCCAAATGAACAGAGACTTATTTTTTCAACTCCGATAGCAGAGGCATGAAGATGATTTTCAAATTGTCTTCTCATCTCTTCTATTTACAGAGTGATCTCAAAAAATTAACTTTCTGGTTTTGCAGTCATACCTTTTTTCCTTGTCAACCCGTTTTTGAAATCTCATTTTGAAGCTGAGATTTCAGATGAAGAGATAGAAATATCAGAATTGACTCAAGGTGACTGGTACTGGTGGGGGACGTTTCCACGTCAGCAACTAGTCCCTAATGGGACCTTTTTGCAAACCCCAAGTGTTTTCAATGGCTGATGTGGTTCGCTCAAGAGAGCTGGCTAACATCCTTTTCAAGCACCGCCCATCAGCTCACTTTCAGAGTTTTTCGGCTGTGTTTTGTAGGCTAGTCATGTACTCACTACCATATGCGCAGTGACAGAGCAGGCCTGTCACTGCGCATATCTATCCTCGTTAACCCCCAAGACCGAGGTCAACTAAGCAGCTGGCCCGCTCTCACGCTCAGCTGGTAGTTTTTCCACACCCACCTACATACACCGTTCTACTTCTTCTCTGATGCTTACAACCACATCATCATATCTTTCTGCGTGTTCTGTGTAGGCTTTGTTACTAACTCCATGCGCCACTTTAGGAGCAGCACTGTTAATTGGAACGCAACAGCGAATCGTGCAGGACTATCCCCAGCCGATGCTCCGAAACTTTACAATATTCAATTCGTAAATAAAATATTGAAAAAAGTCCCTTGCTCGTGCTGACTCAAGGTGACTCAAGGTGACCATTATACAGTGTGTCTCACTTCTAATGGAAGCACCCCTGTGTGTTTCGTAATTGTTGCGTTGAGATTTTGAAACTTACAGTAGCGGGAGATACACTGAAAATAAACACTATGACCAAGTGAAGTCATCTACAGTGATAAACACTGCTCGCCAACAGCCATGAAACCACCCAAATTTCCGGAAAATCTTATTAGGAGCCAAGAGAGGTTGAAAATCACTTCGTATTCGAAATAAGGACGTCCTATCCACAGACTATTTATATTTTCTCTAGGAAAATTTCCAGTTCATAAAAACTGAATTTTGTTTTACTTCTCATGGAAGCACCCCCGTATCTCACGTGATTATTGAGGTCGGGTTCTGAAATTCGCAGGAGGAATCGAGAGAGACGTCCTGAATTTGTAACCAAAAAGATTTTCCACCTATCTTGCTTCCTTATATCATTTTCCATAGCTGTTGGCGAGCAGTGTATATCACTTGAGACGACTCCACTTTTTCATTATATCTACGCAAATTTCAGGATCCTAACTCAACAATTACGAAAGATACAGGGGTGCTTCTATTAGAAGTGAGAGACACTGTATAATTTCCATCTTGAGTCAAATCTGATCTTCATATCTCTTCATCTGAAGTTTGGGCTTCGAAATGAGCCTGAGATTTCAAAAATCGGTTGACGAGGAAAAAAGTTTCGACTGCAAAACAGAAGTTAATTTTTTGAGATCACTCTGTGAATGAAAGAGATAAGGAGACAATTCGAGAACTGTCCCAAGATAATGAGATCATCTACAAAAATAGTGTTCATTCATTTGGAATACTTTTGAAATTTCCGAAATTTTGCACAGTTTCAGATAACACCCTGTAGCGATATCATGTGAAGAACCTTATATCTTGAAGAATTACGAGATTATATAGCTGAAGGACTGGGCTAGAGAACAGGAAAATCTGAATTCAATTCGTTCAGAGTTGAAAAAAGTTGTTCATATTTCAACAGAGGCAAAATTTTGGGGTACGTCGAAATTTGTGTTGCGTAGTCTAGATGAGTGAATAGAAAAATTACACAATTCATGAGACTTATCCATTATGAAATTAATAAAACCACTATTTGTTATTCTTGAGACCTGTTAGAAATCTTTGATACTTACCAGCTCCGAGCAAAACTTATTACCTACTGCCAGAAAGCACTGTTATAATAAATCCAATGTTTCTCGAAATATACTTCCCAAATCTGAGTTTTTGAAAGCCATACCTGAAATAGTATATTACATAACTAGTGTGGAAAGTGACATATTTCGCGCGAGTGGACGTTTAGCACGAGCCGCAGACCGGCGAGTTTTGCACACTATTATTCCTACGACCACAAATATTTATATTATATGTCATGAGTGTTTATGAGCCCAGGGTAGGGATCATGTTTCTAATAATATTCGATCACATATGAAGGTGATATCATTATCATTATCATTTTATTTTGATTCGATATTTAAATGACATCATCAGTTCAACGTTAACTTGACATTAACTCAATATGAACTTCACATTAACTCAACATTAACCAACATCAACTTAATATCCACTCAACACCAACTTAACATAAATTCAACAGTCCTCAACATTAACTTGAAATTACCTCAACATTAACTCAAAATCAACTCAACATTAACTTAAAATTAACCAAACATCAACTTAACATTAACTCAATAATTATTCAACACTAACTCAACATTGAATCAACATTTACTCAAAATTAACTAGACAATACCTTGAAATCAAATTAACATCAACTCAATATCAAATTGACATTAACTTCACATTAATCACAAAGTTGCCTATACATTGACATTAATTTAACTTTCAATTGAAATTAACTTGATTTCAACTTTTCATCAACTTAACATTACGTCAAAATTAACGACAATAACACATGTTGAATCGACACTAACTTTATATTAACTTGACCAAAACTCAACTTACCATATTTCAGCATGATAATCATTCATTGGTACATCATAATCTATAGACCCTGCTACTGTGCGATTTTCGAATATTTCCACCCATGTGAGTTTTACTTTCGAACTTTCTAACTGTTAAAACGAGTCATTTTTTCATATATAATACCACAAGTGATAATATTTTGCCGGAAATATTCGGTGATTGTTACGACAGCTTGTTGTCTAGTAATTTCGTGAATGAGATTAATATCAAAACTACGAGCCGTAGGCTAGTAGTTTTGGATCAATGTCATGAGCGAAATTAGAGTAGCAAGCTGGAGTATGTCAATCGACGAATATTTCCAGGAAAAATAGTATCACGAGTTGTATTCGTATGACTATTTCATAATTGAATGAGACAAAATATATATAAGAAATAGAAACATAATTTAAGTATATTCCAACTCGAATTGCGAAGAAGAACATAATGATAGTAATAAAATACAGAATTTACTATTTTAGAAATTAACTACCTACTCAATTTCACAAAGTGAAGTATACAATTTTGATAAACAGTATTTTTTTATTATCTTGGAGATGGTTGCTCTCAAAAGAGTGTTTACAATTGCTATCCAATTCAAACAAAATAAATTGAATTTATATGATAGGCAATAATTAAAAAAAAAAAGATATCGTCGCCGAGGGCTCGAACCATCGACCTTCGTATCCTCGCGCAACAACCCTAACAGTTGCGCTACATCAGCTAGTAATTATAATAGTCAGTCACAATAACTTGAATAATTGAAGAAGATTACTTCAAAAAGGAATTTGAATTCGATTATTGTTGTGTCAAATATGCAAACTGTTCAAATTACACATGGAACATCCAGCCAGAATGAAATTGTCTCGCCTTTCGTACAAAATATCTCACTGACGCGAATTATAAGTGAATAAAATAAAGTAGGAACTTAGGTTATTGTTTCAGATTTGAATCCCAAGCAATCTTGACCAGACAGGATGTCAAAATTTTATCGCTGATAAACGAGGTTTGTTGGTCACGTGTGGGTCAATTCGGCTTCTGTATTGGTAGAGCAAGTCCGATAAAATTTAATAAACAAAAAATATCACTAGAATACAGGAGAAACCGTGAAAATGGTCGATTCTGATTGGTTCTCGAGATCAAGAGTAGAATAGTCAATAACAAATCAATGTGTTTTGTGCTGTTTTCATATAGGTGGTCGTAGGAAAACGACATATTATTCCATTCATTCACACAGTAGACCCTTCCCAACTTTTCTCCCTCAATACGCCTATATGATTCATGTGTGTAAAATTATCCGAAATCCAGTGATTGGATCATCCGAGCAACTAATTCCCAGAAATTGCTGGGGGCATTCAATTCTGCTGTTGAAATTCGATACCAAATCATCATATCCGACTCTAAATAGCTCATATACAAGTCTTCACTCCGCACCCATCAATTTGGCGTGCACTATACAAATCAAATTGCTGTCCATATCCACTCATTAGTTGAACTGTGATTCAGAATAGAATCAGTGTTATTTGAGATCCATTGGTTGGTAGTCAGTTCAATCCAGTATGTCGAACATGTATTTGGTCAAGAAAGATACTGCCTTCTATGCGAGCTTGAAAACTCTAAGATTCTTCTTTGTTTATCCAGAATTGAAGGAGAACTCGACGTTCAACGTGGCGCCTTACATGAGTTTCATTCTAAGCTCGCTGGTTTTTGTTATTTTTATATTTGGGTCTTCTATCCATGTTGTGATGTCCATCAGAGGTAAAGTGAGCTTATTGTTTTATGTTATTATATCAAATTCAGTTGTGTCCAAAATTCCTGATTGAGTCCTGTGGAAAACTATTTGTTTTGAAATTCAGTGTAGTTGAATAATTTATGCAGTTCCTCAACTTGAATTTCAACGTTCACTTCTAGAACCATATAGTTTAAATCAGTTAACGGTATATCCTCAATCAGAGACAGGTTACTTATCTCTCCCTGAATACAGCTGGCAGAATTAAAAGCTGCATAATATGGAGTATTACTGCATAGTTCGCTAAGATCATTCTTCAGGAACTGAAAAGTCGAAAAGAGGTCCTTAAAACTGACATATAAATAGTCTGAAAACGAATTACCTCAGCAAGAGACTCTATAATAGCATAGGGAGCAAGCGAGCTACCACATATTATGGTTATGAAGTCGACTTTGCTGATTACAACTCACTTGAGATTATTAAAATTTGACTCTGTGGCTGATAAGGAAAGCATCTAATATATGTCTAGTAGACCATGTTTCTGTATTCATCGTTTTCAAGGTCCTTTTCTGACGTTGCATTGACGTTAAAACTGGGTAACAACATGTCTAACTTTCAATCTATCCGAGGAGTTAGGAATGTTTGATAATGTAAGATAACCTTGAGAACCGCGAATAGGTATCTCACTCTGCTTGTTGTAGTTATTCAGTCGTCTTGTCTTGTTGGTATGGGAAATCTCGGAATTTTGACGAAAATGCAATTTCACTTTCCATAATTTCCATTCAAGTCTGATAGTTTTCGCAAGTCAGGTCAACGTAAGCATATCTACAGGATGACCCAGAGTTAAATCGCCAAACGTTCATTTATTCAAGATTATCTGATAACATTTCAACTCACAATTAAATATCAGACCGCATATTCTACAGAAAAACTGTACAATCTTTTTCCCTAGTTGACTAAAAATGCGGAAATGTGTCATCTGGAATAGTGACATTTTTCAGACAGAATACCTTGGATAAAGTCACTGTCATAATTTCATATTTATATCACTCAGATCGACGAAAGCACTGACAGATACACTGAACATTCTTTCATGTGTTATTATCCCAATTCATCTTCAAACTCTGATTTTGAATGATGAAAGTAGGTTCATCAAATATTATTCCTGTGACAGGCTGATAGTTGTATAATGATTAGTAGCAGTTTCATGCGTCGAATTTTGAAGCAATAAGTATTTCACTGATCAGTATAGTTACTCAGCTAGGAAATTATAAAACAACATACTGTCCAGAGTGACTGCCTGATAGCGACAGCTGTTCCTTTTTTTTTTTTTGGATCTTGCTTTTATTTTATTCAGACCAGGGAAGAGTCCCTCTTATCCTGATATCTATTATGGAACAAAATAAAAACGGTATTGAAGTTTGATGCGAACAGCCCTTCTGTCCCAAATAAGTTTCAGAAATACATTCTGAGAATTGAAAGAGATCGAACGGAATACATAAATATCATAAACTTGAGAATAGTAAATTTGGTCATAATGTCGATATTTTCCCTAGTTTATGGACAATCTCGGTCTTTTGAACTTTGATTGATCACCTGGGTCATAATCAACTGCATTTCGAAGAAGCTGATTCTCATGAACCTCAGCTTTCTCGAAAGTCTTGATGTTTCGTTCTTTAATGACTGACACGATTGATGGGAGTTTCAGATCCCTGGCGATCTGGTTATTCCGAACATACCAAGGAGATCCTGTCACCATTCTCGCGATTTCGTTTTGTAATGTTTGTAATCTGGTGATATGAGATTCAGCTGTGTGGCCCCAGACTACTGAGGCATACAGTAAAATTGGCCTGATAGCCATGATATAAATATTCAATTTTTGTCTCAAACCCAATTTACTCCGTCTGTTTAGAAATGGATACAGGGCTCCAATGGCTCGTTTAGCTTTTGAAACTTGCTGTTCAATGTGCTGAGCCCAGGTGAGCTTTTTGTCAATGCACACACCTAAGTATTTAACTTGTGAAGACCACTCTAACTCATGACCATCCAGGACTATTCTGGTTCTAGGAGGCCTCCGCTCCCTTCCGAGTGCGACCAATTGTGTTTTTGTAGGATTTGATTTGATCTTCCATCTTAGGAAGTACTCCTGAAGAGAATTCAGTGCGCTTTGGAGGTTCATAGCTGCTTGCTCGAAATTTGTCGAATATGCAAGAACTGCCGTATCATCAGCAAAAAGCGACATCTTGCACATCACTGGTCTTGGCAAATCGCTAGTATATAAACTGTACAACAGCGGAGATAAAACTGCACCCTGAGGAACACCAGCTTCAATGGGCTTGATACCAGATCGTTGATCATCAAGTTTTACTTGAAAAGTTCGATTCTTCAGAAATGAACACATCAACTGAATCAAATCGTCAGGAAAGCCCATATCGATCATTTTGTATAAGATACCATCATGCCACACCTTGTCAAATGCTTTCGCTATGTCAAGGAGAGCAAGATGGGTCTTTTGTCTATCATTTCTCAACGATATTGTGTTCTCAATGAGTCTCAAGACTTGTAGTTCAGTTGAGTGGCCAGTTCTGAAACCGAACTGCTCATCTGGTATAAGCCCGTTGTCGTCGATAAATTCCTGTAATCTCTGTTTAATCACTCGCTCCAGCTGTTCCTTCCTCTGGCATAAAATTCACCTTCAGCAAAATCATTATTGCTATCATAGGATTTCAATGTGCTGCTTCTATTCGAAAATGTTCAACGGTTATATATGATATCGTATAATGGTAGCAAGAAATATCTCATCAGCAGAAATTCCAATTCCACAATCCTCCCTAGTGTGAAATGAAATTGGCAAACAAATTTCCACTTGTCTTGGTTAATAACCACTTCTCTCTTTTTTTTTAAACTATCCTATTCACCTCCTATGACCAAATTCTCTTCTCCCTTTCTCCTCCAAGTCCAAAATCACCAAGCATTTTGTGGGCATCTCTGGGCCAGAATTTTTTATATGTTCTGGTTCTCACGAAAGAAGATATACTGGAATGTTCAGAAAACGTCGTGGGAACCAAGGGAAATGAGGTAGGAATTGGTGTTCTTCTCAAATTTCTGGAGGTTATATGCCTCGGGGAACATCTCCCTTGGCAATGTGTTCCAGAGCCTCTATAAAATAGAGCCAGATCGCCAACTTTTTTACGGTGGTCCATAAAAGTGAGTGAGTTTGTGAGCGAGGCATCACCCACGAGACGAATTGCTTTTTTTGTGTTCATCTGTGGCAAGGATGGAGCGATTTGTAGATATCTGCTTAGGTGGCCAAGGACTGGTCAACAAGGCTCTGGCAACCTGATCCAAAATGTTGGAGCCCGTGGCCATGGATGAATGACACCGAGGTTTGGTGTCTCTAACGGGGCCTCTGGAAACCAAAATAGGGCGACATCTCAGAGTGAACAGCGTCCTGTGCTGGGACACCACATGGCTGGACCAACCCCTTCTCCCGTCACTTGTAGGAGAAGGAAAACTTTTTGCTTTCTTCGTAGACGAGAACAGGAATCGGAAGAGTAATCTTCAGGAACCTGAACGAGAAGAGTCTTTTATATTGAAGTGGCCCTTGATAAGTACCATGAGTTATAAATGGTGAAATGTTTAACAAAGAAAACATTATTGGACAATTAAGAAAGAAGGAATATTGAGGAAACTGCCTTAAGCAAACTAAGAAGAGATTATTGCACATAGCCCTACTGATGAGGGCCAACAGCCCGAAACACGTATCTACGGTCAACTCTTCCTGAGGGCAATGCCCAATAATCTTCTCCTAGTTAGCTTAGAACATATCCCTCAATATTCCTTTGAACTTAAAATGAATAACGGCATATAGGTAAGATACAATGTGCCACAAAGCCTAAGTGTTGTCGGAGACATCGGTCTGACGATCTTACAACGAAGTTGAATGTTTAGCGGGTATACCCTTGAGTCCCGAGGACTCTTACACCATCGAATGGGGGATGAGACCCATGTGATGTCCATGAAGGATTTCAACCAACTCGACAAAAAATATACAATAGGTACCCTCAGATGTTTTGTGGGTTCTTCTGTCCAGCTACTGAACTAGTCCTTATTTTCAGCCAACATTGGGGGTGACATCAGTGAAGATCTCTCAGTGATACTAGGCGGGCTTGGCATGATGACTAACGTAGGCATGTTCCAGCACTACCAAGGCAGATGGTCCAAGTTTTTCACTGACGTTACGAATTTCGAGGCATTCGGCAAGCCCACAGACTTCGACAGAACCCGCGAGCGAGGAAACCTTTTCGCAACAGGATAGTAGTAGTAGTAGTAGTAGTAGTAGTAGTAGTAGTAGTAGTAGTAGTAGTAGTAGTTTTATTGATCCATTGAGACAAGCTCACAAAAGCAATTGGACAGGTCAAAATACAAGAAAAATCACAAATACACATTCACATAACTTACAATAAGGTTAATTAACTAAAATAGAATACAAACAATACATACATGGATAAGATATCAACCAGTTCTGTGAACATTGAGAGAAACTCATGAATTGCATATAGGTTGTTGGTAAATCATGGATCATACTTCAGCTGAAGATAAACAGGTTCATATCGCGGCTTCAAAGATATTGGAACATTTTTAAAAAAAATTCTCTTATGTTCCAAGCGTTTCATGTTTATTCTCCATTTCGATAAATATCACTGAGAAATGGTTTCAACAATCCCAGAAGGCATATTTTTGATAGCAGTCGTTTTTGGTGTACAAAATAGTCTGCCTTCTGCGATTGTTACAACAGCTATTCAGTAATCTGTGATTCAGTGATGTTTATCAAGAATAAGAATTGACATTGAACGCTCCTCATTTGCTTCGAACATGAACGTTTTTAATTTCATATTCAAACATAACTTGATTGGATTCGATTTCTTCCATATTTTTCGAAAGAATTGAGAGACGACAATTATTGTGTCCTTGGACAATGATCGCTGATTTGGTTAGTTATATTTCATGCAGAAACTACAATTCTCATGATATACATACATCGGATGATATATGAAGATCTAGTCATGTTATTGCCATCTAGAGGCAGAGTTCTGAGGTAGTCACGCCATATACAATAAACACGCTGTAATCTATAGTCCACACGTGATAAGGGGTCTTCACAATACAAAGTAAATCTCATTTTTCATATACAGGATGTTTCAAGTAAAGGTGCGCCCCTTGCCAGGGTGAGAACACTGCAAATTTTGATTTGCTCAGAAAAGAAATGTTGTAACAGTATCCATTTTCAAGATTATTTCGAAATTACTAAAAACAATCATCAGCCGATTAAAGAATCATTTCACAAAGAACAGAGCAACAATCAATAATTGTGGAACATGGTAGTACTCACGTGGAGAAGAAAATTTTAATTGGAATCTTATGAAGTTACAAAACTATTTTATGATTGTTTTCAACAGATAATACGTTTGTCGTAATACGTTTTCTAAACAGGGACCCTGTACCCCAATAAGCAAGTGGAATGTCCTCATCAGGAGGCCGAAAGACATCCGAGGATGAGAAAACCAAAAACCATTTTCATCTTGATATCTGTGGATTAACCTGAAAACATGTGACCAAATGTCCAAGTCAATCCCATATCTCTAACAGACAACTGTAACTTCAGCTGTCAACGGTGATGCAAGACAAAGCGACAATTGGTCCATGAAAATCATAACCATCTTGTGAATGGAAACTTCAGAATATGAAAATAAAAGGAGGATAACCTAAGGTCAACAATGCCATGAAAATTTTGAGAAGGTAATCTTTTGCTTCCAAATCAAGAAGGAACAATAACACAAACGTTACGAGCTCAAGGCATTGAAGAGTTTTTGGCAATCGAAATGGATTTGTTCATTAAGTGAAAGAATATTTTTGTCCTCCGAAGATGAGTTGATCCCAAAATTTTCCCACAGATTCAGCAACTATATCTTTCTGGCAAATTTGTAGAATTTTTAAATCAGTATTTTGTCGAATGAGTTTTCAGAGTTGAGGACATTGATAGCAAATGAACTTTGGGTTCCGAAATCTTTTTCAATGAAAGTATTTCTAAATTTTTCTATGAATTTCACTCGTGTTTATTCACTCTCGTATTAATCCTTCTACCAGTCTAAAGAGATTCTGTATACACCTGACTCAGACGTAGGTGGTAATTTGTCTTCAGCATCAACGAAATTATGAGAAATTATGTCAGAAGTATGGAAGGAAATGTTAATATCTGTTCTGAAACGATGGAAAATATTTTTCAAATCATTAGATACTCTACCTAAAAATGGAATTGAAGAGAAAAATGTTCTTAAACTATGGTTGAGAGATTTTTGTTGATGTGTGCTGTAAATTCTATGAATAAGGTGGGGTGGGTAGCCATTGTTGTGACCAATTTGTTTGATAATGTTCAATTCCTTATTGAAATCTGAAGAATCCATGAGAATATGGAAGAGTCTATGAAAGAGGGAGTTAAAAGCAGTTAATTTGTGATGGATCGTACTACAAGAAAAACAGGGGATCACTATGTCAATGTGAGTCGGTTTTCGGAAGATGGAGAAGGTGAATTTATTATCATTTGTATCAATCAGTAAGTCTAGGAATGGACGAAGATAACGTGTTCTCATATTGGGATGTCTTTCGGCCCCTAATGTGGCGATTCCACTTGATTATCGTGGCACAGTGCTCTTGTTTAAAAAAAATTATACAACGACCGTATTCTTTGTTTAAGAAAAAATCATGAAATAATTCTGTAACTTCATGTGATTCCAATCAATTCTTCCTTCTCCACGTGAGTTCTACTACGTTTCATCATTGATACGCTATTATTGTTGCTCTGTTCTTTGTAGAATGATCTTCTTATCGGCTGAAGATGGATACTTTGTAGAACCGAAACATGTCCCCTTTTCATTTATGATTCGATTTTATCAAACTTTGTGGAGACGACATGGAGTATTATTAGTTAAGAATAATGGTTTGAACCACAACCATTATCAATATTTTGCGTAACTGAAGTTGGTATAGGTACTCTGTATTCCATCTAGCGTAATATTTCCATCCTAGTACAGGGTGATTCACCATAAATGTCCCCCCTTATAGCTCAGTTAATCTCAAATCGATTGCAAAATTTCAAATATCATCTAAGTTTTTTTTCGCCACATCAGAAAATACAAGGTGTTCGGAACAAACGATCTATAGGGTACTATTTGATTTTTTTAAATGGAACACCCTATTCTTCATTATATTTTCAAATTCTCCCAGAAGAGCTAATTTCATCAATGCATTACACTTGGGGTCTAGCGAAAATGATTACAAATATATAGGGTGTATATAGATTTTTCAACTTTAGGATTTTTTTGTGACGAAACTGATCATTATCGGTCAAAACGGCTTCCATGTCCGTATCTCAACTTTTGATTTACCATCTACTGACATTTAATAATTGGAACAGATACAGGGTGATCAGAATTTTGAATCTTGAACCACACTGTATATGTTCTGATTGAATGTCAGTAAATAGTAAATCAAAAGTTGAGATAGGAACATTGATGCAGTTTTGACCAATAATGAATAGTTTCGAAAAACTCGATTTTGAACACCCGCCTATATTTCTGTAATCATTCCCGCTAGACCCCAAATGTGATGCATTGATGAAATCAGCTCTTCAGAGAGAATTCAAAAATACAATGAAATACAGGGTGTAACTTTAAAAAAAATCAAGTAGTACTCTGTAGATCGTTTGCTCCGAGCATCCTGTATTTTCTGATGCGACGGGAAAAAAAAATTCTGGAAAATCATTTCAGATGATTCTTCAAATTTTTAAATTGGTTCAAGAAATAAATGAGCTAGAGGAAGGGACATTTATGGTGAATCACCCTGTACCTTCTCAATTATATTCCGGTGTTGGATTTTTTCACCAAACACCACTCTAGCTGCAATCAGATACCAGATATTGTTTCGCGAACACCCGTTAGATATTCGTGTTATCGAAAAAATATCAAGTGATAATTGAAGCTCTGGTGGTATTGTAAGTGATATTTCGTTTTGTGTTACAGGATACGTTGTATACTGCACCACCGGAACTGTCATTTACTCATTCGTCGCTATCCTAGAGTCAACTTGCGGTGACCTCAACGGAGAGGTGAGGCACAAGGAGATTTGCGGCACTCTGACACCCGTTTGGTTGCCTTTCAACGACTTATCGCTAATGACCAGGAACGTGATATTCATCATCCAGTATTGCTTGGCCAACTATATAATAACATCATCGGCTGTCTGTTGTTTCTTGCCTTTCGAAACGACGGAGTTGCTAATTTCTCACATTAGCTACTTGAAGGAGAACTTCCTGAGGGTTTTTGAGGTCGACAATGAAAGAATGAGAGTTGAAAGATTGCGGTTTTGTATCAACTACCATAAATATATTTTGGGGTGAGTATTTCACACAATCTCTAGGTTCTCTTATGGGTGCCAGTACCTTTTTTGTGTCAGACAATTATGCATATCTATGATGATACCCTGACGCACTAAAATCAATAGCTATTCATATATCGAGGAAGTAAAGAATATCATAACCAGGGACCAAGATTATATCTTGAGGCTCTAGCCATTGTGTGCCCAAATGTTCTGACATTCAGCTGGGTATGCCGACTTGGAGAAGTTCAGCAGCTTCCTCATCTGATTCTCTTTCAAGTCTTCTGGCCTCATAATGATGTTGCCAAGGACAGCCCTCCTCTGATGTGTCAGTGCTGAGCACTGAATGAGGACCTGCGATGACGTTTCGACATCTTTCAGGCACCATCTGCAAAGGGGATCATTTTTGATTCCAATAAGCTCTTAGCGCCTATTGAGGTAGTTGTGCCCCGTTAGGAACCTCACATCATTTTGAGGTCTTGCCGGTTGAGAGATAAGACCTCGTTTGTGAGCCTCTTCGAATGTTTCTTCATGTGGAGCTTCTATTGTCTCATTCCAAGTGTGTCCTGCCATATTTTGAGGAATTGATTTCGCAGCTGTCCCTCTATGGAGGACATTGCCAGACTGTACGATATTCCCAGATCTTGGCCAGTCTGCCTGCCTCCTCGTTTCCGGGTATCCCTGAGTGTCCTGGTACCGATATGGAGCTATCTTTTCTTGATTTTGCCAGGTTTTCCAAGGCCTTCCTGCACTCGGACACAACCGAGGAGTATGAGGTCCCGTGGTGATAATATCATTTATTACCAAGGTGTACATCACATTTTATCACTACCAGCGATATACTTCAATCATTATACTCCTGTGACACAAAAATGTTGCATACCT